TCAAAGAGGGCTTTGTCAAAGGGAATGTTTGTGGCCTTTAACTCTTTTGTTTACAGTGTCTAGCACTAGGAAACACAAGAGTTAGATTTTACACCAAAAAGCTGGGCAGTGACTGTATTTGCACTTATTTGTTGAAAGGCTCAAATCAAGTGCTAAAGCCTTCATGCGGGCCTTAACTCAGATATTAAAAGAGATATTTGTTGATTTCCTGAATTTTGAAGTTTAGGTAATTTGATATCTCAAACAACACTAAATGGTCAACTGAACCCATTATTGTGCCTAGAAGAGAACCAAGCTGTTAATGGCTACATGGATCCATTTGGGCCAAATTCAACTTTTTTCTAAGAAAACATTTTTGTGTTGAGTTGTCATTTTTGATCAAATCTAATAAAATGATCTTGTGGCAATTCAATGTGAATCTGTCCATTGGTTCTTTTGTAATAACACAAATGTTGGTAGTGTTATTGCAATATTTTCATTATGAAGTGATGGCAAAGTGAGCACTTCAAGTAAACCCCCAGCTGTCCATTAGTCTGTCGCGGCCCTCGAGCTGTGTCTGAGGAAAACTGCTGATCTGACAAGTTTATGATCTGTCTTTGTAGACCACAAGGCCTCTGTGTCTCTGTTAAAGAGAGGCGATCAATAGCCTCTGAGTTACTTTAGCACTTGGCAGCGGCGGACAGCTGATATAAAAGGCCCTTCAAATTGTTGTGAGCATTTCAGAAGGAAGAGTACGGTAAGTAAAGTGTGAAAAGCTGGAGGCGTAAAGTCTGAGTTAAATATACAAAATAGCATGTCCTGAAGTGTGTTCAAATAGAATGCAGAAAGTTAGGCATGAAAGAAACCTGCTGTTTCCCGTTCTTGTATACGTTTCCTCTTTTATTCCTCCCTGTAGGGTGAACATAAATCATTTAATGGTTCTGGTTTTAACTAACTGAACAAAACTGTACTGTGTTATACACAAGGGTAAAACAATTAACAATCCTTTACTGCAAACTAGACTATTATGGGTTAGAGTCAGCTACAAAACGAATCAAAAGAATATAGATCACAAAGAAGTCTATCTCTAACACATCCACAATCATCCAGCGTGGCTAGTACACACTTTGAGAGGCCCTTGACACAATAAATACCTTTATGGCTGCTACACGTTTCAATGTCAGGACCTGACTTGTTCAGACGGCAAGAAAGTGTTGCAATGCATTTCACGGTTTCACAGACTTCTTTCTGAGAAATGAACAATCTCTGATCCTTAAAAACAAATATAACATATGCTGAAGAAACCTCTCCTCCCTCCTAAGTCAATATGGCCTGCATAGTCACAGGTATTTACAGAAGTGCATGAAAGAAAAGGGCTGTAGTTCTTACCCACTGTACTGGCTCACACAGCTTCCCATCTGGAAACCTTGAATGCAAGGTTAAGTTGAATTCACATCCTAGGCAGAGCAGTGGTTGCAGGCTGTTTGGTTGCAAAGAATCCAGAAAGTGTTCCCCTGCATATGTCCTTTCCTTGTCTGCCTCTGTTTTGCCTCTCTGAATGCTCTCACCTGCCTAAGGTAATGAGTGTTTGCCAGCATTGAAGAGCACGCCCACGGTTAGCCAATAAAAGTGCTCTCAGAAATAGAAAAAAACAGCAAGGATTAACCCTTCACCTGTCAACAAAAACAAAAGGTCTGCAGAATGACCTGTAAGGCATGAAATCACTGACCTGCTGGTCTGTTTACCCAGACAGCTCAGGTTGGTAAGTAACTGAAAATGGTTTTTTTTTTACTACAAAATACATTTCAAAAAAAGTTATTTGTCTCCAGACGAACAGCTTGACTGCTTAATTTAGAAACAATGTTGGTTGGACAAAATCAAATTTTTAGAAAGGCTTTTGAGTTGCAGTAGTAGGCAGAAGCACTGCTTTGAACAAACAACACGTCTATAAAACCTTTTAACTGCAGAGTACTAGTTAATAACAAATCACACTATCTATTTAGACAACGTCCTAACCAGCACAGGAGTGGTTTAGTTATTCTCTGTTTATGGGTCAACTCAAATCCATGTGCCAATACCTGAGATAAACATCAAATACACAGGGGAGTAACACTGTAAGCTACTACCAACTGTGAATAACTTAGTTACTCATTGACACGTTCACAGTTAGGGCTGTAAACAACGAGGTCACAAAGAAAGTGACAGGTATATAATAGGAATAAACGCTAGACCAAAGGTCAGATACTTCAAAGTGTTATGTGTTGAATCTGAAACCACAGTGAAGTAAGTTTGCGGCTAGACAGAATATATGTATCTTCTAACCTATTTAAAAAAAACAATTTTGTAATAAGCGCTTTTTCAACTATTAAATCAAAAATGTCAAAAAGCAGTTTTTGTGAAGAGGCCTGGTGTGCATCAATCAATATAAAAAAAGCAATATTAAGAATGTGTAATACTGCATCGGTTTGTCTTTATTGCCAACATCAGCTCGGAAAACAAAACTCTGTATCGATTTTAAAAAACTGCTTTGAAGTTGCAGACAAACAAATGTAATTTTAGTCTTTTTTTTATCCTCGGTAGGAAGTGGTTGAACAAAAAAACTTTTCTTTTAATCATGGCATAACACTTTTGGGTAATGCACTTTAAAATAGTTATAGTACACCGTCATATACCCCATTTGAGCATTACATAACCTAAATAACTCACATTAATAGCAAAACTAGGAAATACTTTGTTCTTGTACTACTTGTAAGCGACGGAAGAGAAAGAAACTTCTGGAAGTAAAAGATGATGCCTAGAGCTGAAACTTTGTGAGGGGAGAAAAAGCAGGGTAGCTAGAAATGAGACAGAATGGGGACGAGCTCTTGACAGAATAAAGGACAGACGTATTCCAGAGTTCACAGTGCTATGGGCTCAAAGTAGAAATATGCGATATGGAAGGCATGGAAACGGGTAAAGAATGACTTGAAATAGAGACGGTGATGGTGGAAATCCATGCTGGATACAGGCAGCATGAGTTGGAAGTCATAATTTGAAGGTGAGAAGATGAAGAAGAACTGAACAAAGCTATGCTGTATGGCATCTATTTAATATTTCTAATTCCTAATCATTGGCTCTGAGATGCTTTTTGACATGTAGATTTAAATTACATTTGAAATACAAGTCTGAAAAAGTCCAGAGGCTGCACACCGTCTCGTTTCGGCGACTTTTCTTTGACTGATTACAAGGTTTATTTCACTCTGGATCCAATCATGTACATGGCGTATCTGAAGTCCAAATGTATTTTTTCTGCTGTCAACAAACAGTAAGCTGGTAAATTGTGTGCTAAAACATTGATTAACACAAAATGAAGGAGTGCATTCTCCATCACAGTGTCTTAAGTGATTAGTACTTCACATTATTAGTGCTTTCACTATTCAGCTTTTCCTGATAAATGATGTTTTTTTTTCTTGCCCACATCAGCATCCAATTGACTGATTGCAATCTAGGAGCATTTCTTTGCACTTAGCTTAATTTCTAAGGCACAACAAGTCAAGTTCAGCAGAAATACGCTTTTAATTTAGAACAGGAAATACAGTGTATCCGACACATCTGGGTTATTTGTATCTGGCACCATTAGTCACACTGTAGGAAGCTTACCCCCAGAAGTTAAACGCAAAGGGCAACAGCAGGTCACAAACCGATAATGAACTCATCATGAATAATACTGTGACTATTCGACCGAGTACAACGATCACTGTGAGTGAGTGTGGTTGTATGTGAGGGCGTGTGCATATTTGAAAGGTAATATACCATCTGAAGTAGGGGTGCAACAACTAATCGACTTAATCGATTAAAATCGATTACCAAATTAGTTGGCAACTAATTCAGTCGTCGATTCGTTGGTGACGTCATCACATGTGTTCTACACCCCGTTAAGCTTCAACGTTATCGCTCTTTTGTATCGGTACAGGAGACATTTAAAAACATATGTTATGTATTATTGCTACATAAACATTATATCGCAGTCTTAGTGTCGCCAACTCAGTTTCTAATATGCAATATGACTACAAAATGCGTCTATAATGTATTTTCGATCTTCCGAATTCAGACGAGCGATCTCTCCCCCGCCTGCTTGCGAGGGGGCGGGGCAGTTTACACACACACGCAGGAGATGGCGGAGAGAACGCGCTCCGAGGTGTGGTTAAACTTTAGCCGTCTCGATGTGGACAATGCTCGTTACCAAAAGTGCAATAACAGTTTATCATATAAAGGCGGTAAAACGAGCAATTTGTCTAAACATTTAGCAAANGAGGAAATCCATGCGGGTGATAGTAATAAGAGCAGTGATGTGAAATCATTAATTAGATAAGCAAGAGGTTATATAGGAACATATGAGTGGTTAGATAGATACAAATCATTAAACTACAGGTCCTAATGAAAATATGTGTTGAAACGATTGATGTTTAAAGGTGGGGTATGTAATTCACTTCAGAAACACTTGTTGTTATATTCCATGGAATGCTCTTAACATCCCGATAGCAATGAATACCTGTCAGCCTTCCATTGTGCACAAACTTATCTCGTGCCCTCGTGTGTGTTGGAGGAGGGGCTCTGTAAGGAAGTCTGAAGGAAGGGGCAGATTTATTTCGGCTGCGTACTTTCAAATTCTAGCGCACTCGAGCTGGTTTCTCCATTCTTACCTACCTACCTTTAAGCAATATGTTTCTGACAGCAGCTCAACGTATCATTCACCCTTTAAATCCCTGTTAGCTTATTTTCTGTTGAAATCACTTCAGGTTAATCTTTCTAAAGAGCATCATAACTGCATTCTGTTCTGGGGCCACAATCCTACAGGTTTTGAACGACAAGTTTGTACTCGACCCTAATTAATCCTTATTTATTACAAAGAGACAACTTTCCCATGACTACGTCTATTTGGTTGGAGATTAATTGGGAGTCTTCTGCAGTCTTCGGTCATTGGGAATCTCTTAAATAAAACAGTGGTGTCAGGAGTATTTGAAAAAATCTTAGACAAATACCTGAGATCCTTGCTGATGACATCACTTCCAGTGTTGTGAGAGGGTGTGGTTCGTCCGGGGATCAGAGGTCTGCATTCCTTACTCTCATCAGATGTCAGCAGTGCATTTTCTCTACACTCCTCCACTCGTAGTTCTCCCTCCTCTTCACCTGGGGTGCTGCCATTTTCTGGTTTGTAGGTGAAGATGATTGTCGGCTTCTGGGTGGGATCCTCTGGCTTGGCCTCGGTGAACCAGTGGTGCTGTTGGATCGGTGGTGGTGGAAGCATGTGAATGACTGTTCCATCAAGCCCAACTATCTTCCCTTTTTCCTTCTCTTTCTCCGCCCTCTCTCTCTGCTCATCCTCGTCTTTCCGCCGACGGAAAAAGCTCTTAAAGGAGATCCAGCGCTTGGGTTTGGCGCTTTCATTTGAAATACGTCTCCCCTCTACACCTGGACTCGCTTCCCCTTCACTTGGTCGTACAGGAGAACTGGAGGCAGAGCTCTTGGTCCAGTTGCCAAAATGTCTTTGTAGGATGTTAGATGCGTGGTAAGGGGAAGACGTAGATCTAGGAGGAGGGAAGGGGGCATTGGGCTCTGACCGGGGGCTGGAGAGTGGGACAGCAGCAGAGGCACTCTGGGATTTAGATAACACTTTTGTGGGCGTTTCCTTCTTGGGTTTGGAAAGACAGCCATCGGGTGTTGAAAAGAGAGACTTGGGTCGGGTGAGGGTCTCCTTCATGGCATCAGGTGGGAGGGCATACAGCTCCTCAGAACTGTCGGTGTAGGCTTGTGCGGAGGGCGACTCTGGAGGAGACAAGGGAGGATGAATGGAAGCCACAATCTGTAAAAGCACAGCACTGGCCTCCTCCCTTTGGCTTACCACTGCCACAGAAGACAAAGCTAAGTCTGTATGATCAGCTTTATTGTCTCCACTTGTCTTGCAAGTATGTGTAACAGCATTGGCAGTTGGGCTGGCTTTAGGTAGATTTGCAGTATTGGCAAGAATTGCAGGGGAATTTGTTTGTGTAGTGGGCGAGAGGGCGCCAACGGTGTAGCTCACCACAGTGCTTTTCACCGTGCTAGAGTCTGTAGTGGTTCTAGGTTGGACATTTGGGGCTTTTGACGCTGCCTCAGGTGGACATTTTGTCTCTTCAGAAGACGCTCGCTCTGATGTGCCTCGACCAGAGATAGTTTTTTCTGTGGAGGAGGACTGGACGCTCTCACAGGATCCAATCTCTTCATAGGTATGGCTGGCCACTCTACTGCCCACCGCTTTTGGCTGTGGGATTTCCCCACTGAGTCCCAAGAAGCTCTTGTACACAGCTAGGTTGTCATACGCACTTGGATTGATAACAATTGGTACCTTAACGGCATTCTTGGAGCTGCGGGCGTAAGCTGGTTCATCTCGAATAATAATAGGAAAAGGAGGCATGCCGGCATTATTGAAACTGTTAAACTTAATCTCTGAGAAGTTGGAGGATTTCACAGGGACAGTTCGTGAAGAAGGTAGCCCAGCGATGGGAGAAGTGGGAGCTGACTTGTGGCTGCAGTGTTGAGTAGTGATGGAGGGGCCAGCATTATTCCTAACCCCTAGATCCACTTTAGGTATTTTTTGGCGAGGACTTGTGCTTGATGTCCACACTTCTTGGTAGCGTATGTTCCCCGATTTCTTCCGGGAGTTACCTGGCAGACCTATAGATGTGGGGGATGTTGGCATCCCAGGCGAAGAAGGAGAAAGTGGGGAGGTTGGAGAGAGGGGATGACCTTTAGGAGCGTTACAGAATGATGTGGGGCTGGTAGGTATTGACAGTTTTTTTAGTTTTGGAGTAGAGTCTGAAGTCTTCTCTTCTTTGTTGGCCATGGATGCTGACACGTCCACTACAGTGTAAGGTTTACAGATTAGGGATTTTTCCAAATTCACTATACGGTACGGTTTAGCCTGCTCCTCTGTGGGACTAAAGCTGATGGTGACTGGTTGACCTGGAAGGGCCTGGGGCATAGGCAAGCCTTCTCTTCCTTCCTGGTCTTCTAACCTAATGGCCAGGACAGCCTTGTGTGTTTCAGTCACCTTGAGGGGACTCAGTGCTTTCTGGACGGGCTCCTTTTTTAGAGGCGAAGTGCAGGGGACAGGTGCCTTAGGAGATATGGGAGAATGCAAGCCATTTCGAAGAGCACAAGGAGCACTGCTCCCACTGCTGGAAGTTGTTCGAGAATCTTCTGGTAGCGATGAGGATGATTCCGGAGAGGTGGTAGACTCTGAGTTTGATAGGAACCCACTGCCTTGCATGTCATGGGTCAGATAGGGAAGAAGCGCCCCATTGGAGTCCAGGGATGGGTATCCATTCAAGATCTCATCATAGCTATCATCATAGTCCACTGCACAAATCCGCTGTAGTGAGCGGTTGCGAAGTGGCACAGTATTCCACTTTTTACCTGCAGCAAAGGGCACCGGAGACAATGTAGCGGCACGGAAAATAGAAAAACGTGGTTGGCCTCGCATACGGATCTCCATGGCTAGTAACTCTTCATCACTTTCATCCCAGCTCTCATGTTCATCATCCCTTTCAGTCTCTTCATCATAATCATCCTCTTCATCATCACTGGAAAACTCGGGGTAGCAATAGCGACCACCCTCAGTGCTGATGACCTTAGAGCCATCGCTAAGGGATACCCGTTTGTGAGGAGTGCCACCACCACCACACCCGATGCTTCCCATGGCACGACAGCTGGAGGCTGGAAGGCCTCTTTCCAAGGAGCGTCTGTATGAACTACTAATACGTCCCCAAAACAAGTCCTTGGAACCAGAAGGGTTTGTGGGGCTAAAGCCAGGGCTAAAGCCAGGGCTAAAGCCAGGGCCTAACCCAGCGATTTCCTTTAGGACATCTGTAAGTCCACTGTTGTTATTCCCACTGGGGGTCCTTGGGCTAAATTGTCCATAACCTTCAATCTCCTCACTTCCATCCTCTCCTTCGTTGTTGTTGCTGGGCCCACCAGGCCTCTTACGGTTCATTCCATTGCGATTCCAAACAGTGAAGGCTGAAAGGTTGCCTTGTTCTATCACATTTGGTGGTCTTTGTAAATTGCCATCTGAATCCAGTCCTGCAGAGGAGCAGGGCAGCATCATGGTGGGCTTAACCGCAATAGTTGGCTTCTTAGCCACCGGGGGACGTACGTGTCCTGTGCGCGGTGCAGAACCACTGCCAGCTCTCTGGGAGTTGATGGTTAAGTTAGTGTTGGCTCTGGCCCCCGCAGGGGGTGGATTCTGTTGCTGAATTGTCGTAGGCCTCTGCTCAGAGGGAGGCTTCCTCCCACCACTCTGAGACAGAGAGTGCAGACTCTTTGGTTTAAAGCAGTTCTTGCACTCGCCTGGTTTCCACACGTGCTCTGTGAAGGTGCTGCAAGCGGACATGGCTGCTGGTCCCGTGAGGTCAGTGGACAGGAAACCCCTCCATGAAGCTACAGGCTGCAGGAACTGACTGTAGTTCAACACGGATTAACACTATCCAATCCTCAAACGTGTGGGATACTGGACCTGAAAAAGAGGACAAGAAAAAAGGTATTAATAAAAAGTTACTTAATTTGAATTACTTGTTAACTGAATTTTAAACATGTATTTTTGTCACAAATCCATGATGCAAACAAACTGAAGGGACTAATTGGATCAAGTTGTTTGCAAATATCTCAATACAGGACCAACATACTGATATTATATTGATCCCATTCCACAATAAGTATACTTATCACACAAAGCTGCACTAAAGTAAAGAGGATACATTGGGGAAGAGAGAGAGAAACAAACACAAACTGTGTGAGGGAGACTGAATGAGGAAGGCAGTGCTACATTATCTCCATTGGGTGGCACACTTTCTCTACTTAGCAGCCAATCTACCCTGTGGGGCAGTGTGCTTCCTCCTCCTGAACCTCAACTGGATCGGAAAGACTTAAAAAGCAGAGGTGCAGAAGTGAAGAGGATTAGGAGAGCTTATTTCTGTATTGATGTCCTGACTTGTTGTTGGCTGTTTCAGCCAGGCTTACATGATGATGATAAAGGAACTGATACTACTGAGTCAAAAACCTCATTTTCCTAAATCCTACAAACTAGATCAGCTACATGGAAAATGGAACCTTTCCCATTTCAGCTGAGTTCACATGCGCTAAAGTTTTACAAATGGCATGCTGTTTCAGAGATTTCAGAGGGCTTCCATTGGTACTGGATAAACAATGAACGACAAGTAGCTCTTCATGCCTATCACCACAATTGAAGTACAATTCAGCCAGACATTATTTCCCAAACACACACGTAACACAATGTGTTTTTAGGCTAGACAGTAGACTGTCCTAAACTGTCAATCACCTGACTTTTCATTTGTTGAAGACCAGATTAAGGTACGAAAAGAGCTTAAAGTAATGAAATCATTTGCAACCAAACCAGAGTTTAGTTGTATTCAATATGTGGATACAATTTCTACACTATTGGATAAGAATGTGCAAAAAACATTGAATCTAAAAGCTGGGAAATATGCATGTGTATTGCCGAGCAACAAAGAAAAAACACTTGGGCGCATGCACGGCCACAGGCTATCGGCAACAGCACATTAATATCAAACACATCCTGTTTTCTTGGCCCACTATGTCATACTTTGTGACATCAGGAAACCAACAAATAACCCAGTTTAAGTTAGACCAGAACAATCATTTCATTTGTATGTGGAACAGTTATTAGCCTTTCAATCAACGTTGCTGATCAACTGGATAATAAGTGGCACGATGCTCAAACTTTTACAGTTAAAGTGAGTTTCGTGAATAACGCTATATTCTATAAATTGGCTGGGTTAGATACAGTACCGTAATTAGCTCTGTTTGACATGTAAAGGCTGCCAGCCTATAAACACAATGTAGTGTGTGACGTCACAGAAAAGGGACGTTTAGATATTGTATGACTTTGAAAAATTGATCATTTAACAAATAAACAAATAGTTGCCACAGACATTGCACTCCACAATACAGTCATTTAAAGATGGTATTAAGATGCTTATAGACACTGACCTCCATCTCTTCTGCTATACTAATCAACACTGTGCCTGATGATTATATCCTTTTATGCCCAAGCCTTCATTTCACCACATGAAGCTGGAATCAGAATACCTTTATTAGTCCCACAGAGGGGAAGTGTTCATTGTTACCTAAGTAGCATGCATACATATTAAAGATAACAAAAGATTATAATTAAAAAAGTTACACAATTTACAAAACACCCATCCTGAACAGTCCTGAGGATTTAGCAGCAGCCAGGTATATATTGCAGTTATTAACGGCATATATATATATATATAAATATATTACACATATTGCACATAGTTGGTGGTTAACAACAAGGAACTACTGTAAGGCTATGAGTTACTGCAGGGCTGCTCTGGTCTTCTCACTTATCTAACAAGGTCATAGGTGTGGGATCCTGTACGGAAGGATGTTACCATGACAACACCCTGGACCTGCCCAGGGCGAGACACAATAAACGCAGGAACGCCTGAATCAAACTTTGCTGACCGAGCTGAGATGTGCGGGGGGGGGGGATTTTATCCTGTTACACCTAATCGACCTCATCCTCACAGGAAACAAAGACTGTAATTCAAATAACATTAGATTCATAACCTGTGATGATGGGACACGTAAGCACTGAATATTTCTGTGGCTGACTTTCAAAAACCTCACGGAACAATGAAAGTACAGCTCGAGAAAAACGAATAACTGGGTCCAATATGTCTGTCTCTCTATGTACGTATTGCTCCTTAGATCAAACAAAAGCAGCATTTTAAATCATCCACACTCATTTTGTCAACCCCATGAACCCATTCTCTTTGAAACACAGCTGGACTAAGTTAGGATTTTATTGCGAGTAAAAAGAAGACAGCAGTGGAAGACATAAAACAAGTGGTATTAACATGGATATTTCAAACCTTTTAAGAAAAAGCTGAACTTATTTTTCAGCGATCTAAACCAGACTGACTTCCTTTGTAACTCCATTATGTTTCCCCGACAGACAGCAGAGGGAACAGTTTTCTTTTGAAATCAAGATAAAGCCTCCTTATTGTGCTTTCTGTCTCCAAAGCAGCTCTATGGAATTATGAAAAGCCGCTTCCAGGCTGCATGCTAATGAGATAATTCCAGTTTTCATGCCTTTGTGTTTCTGAAATTGTTCTAAGACGCAAGAAATATCCAGTATGTGTCACCTACATTTTTCCACCAGCAATAACCGGATGTGAAAGAATATTTTACTTTACCCCCAGCCACCATTTCAATTCTGTTGTTGTTTTGATTTGTCCTTCCCTCCACAGAAAGAGCTGATATGACACTCCTTCCACCAGCCAGAAAAAAAAATGCACATATATTTTTAGTTTCTCATTAAGTCGAAAGGAAAATAGTAGTGCCCTGTTTGCAAGACCCCACAACATTTAATCTGTAATGACAGTTGTACCTTAGGGACAGCAACATCCCATCTGCCCAACAATCCTACCCTAAATCATGCAGTCCAGTATTTTTAGTTCACACAGCTCGCAGTGTGGGGCGCATCATTAAAATATGATAACTCCAGACGCCATACCGAGCGTTGGGAAACCTCGCCTCCCCTATTGCTTATATAATCGTCTTAGTTTGAACATGAAAAAGATTCTAACTGCGGTTTCACTCATTGCAATATAAGTGTTTCTACTTGTGGCAGTCAGCCAAATAATGGACTGCTATTTGTGCGTTCCTTTCATTATGTAACACACATTACACAACATAATAGAAAAGGGTTGAATTACACAAAAGCCTCCAGGCACATTTGCAGAATTACCATGTGTTGCGTAATCATACAAATACAGCATCACACACCCCTGCAATATTATAGAGATATGTTTGCTCCCCTTAGGTGGGATTGTGCCATTATATTGACGGTGTGATATTGATCCAGTCTTTGCGTGTGTCCACAGCGTGACTGCAACATATTTGATTGGGGAGATATGAAGCAGCACTAAGGCACGGAGAGTATTGGGAAACAGGCTGCAGTTGCACACACTTCCAATCTTCTCTGCTTCTATCTTTCCACCAGATGTTGTTTTTTATTTGACTCTGAAATACTAAGCGAAACATGTACACACCTTTAACACTGATCAGTAACATTGATTTAGTTTATAATTGCTTTATAGATACAAAAAACATTCAGGTTAAAATGTGTCTCCATTGGTGAAACCTTCCTTCTCCAAGTCGTATTAGTTATTCTCCTCAGTCTGGTTTTGTTTATCACTGCCTTGCTTGCCATGAATATTTGATGAGGCCGAGGGAGTAGTGTCGATAATTTAAAGAGATCCAATATGTAAAAAAAGACTGATGACTTTCTAAGGGAAAGGAACGCCTGCTCTGCATGAAAGATGAATGTGTTTTGTAAATGAGATCATTTGCGCTCAGAGAGAAATGTTCTTACTTTGATGTAGTGTTAACACGGGATTGAATAGTAACAATGATGTCACATTTGGTTAGACTGAGTCTCGAAATGTCAAACTTCATGTTTATCATCATATTATGTAAGTTTGAAATGTAACAGTGTGTGGATCAGCTTGTGTGTAAGAAGTGTATTTGTGTGTCAGGAAATTCTTCTGCAAAAACATGTATGTTCCATAACTGAATTGTCTACACATCAGTATAATGCAGTCTGTTTCTGTTAATAGCAATAAATGTAGTCAAAACAAAACATGAAAAAAGGCTTGAAATCACTCGAAAGGACTATATATATAGATTCTAGGGCTGAACGATTCATCGATTTTAAATCGAAAGAATTTGAAATGATGCAATTATCAAATCACAAAACCTGCGTTTTTTTTCAACATATTTTTTTAAACATTTTTTACTTTTTGTTCTTCTTGTGTGTCAGCCATCCACACCAATCAGAAGTGCTGTGTTCCAAATGTACCAGCCATTGTTAACCAATCAGAAGTGGCCCATGATAGAAGGTGATAGACAGATTGATCCAATCACCTGCCATGTGTTTTTGAAATACTTTTCCAAATGGCTTCCATTGGAGCTCTCCTAGATGGTTTGGTGAAACAAACCATCTGAGTCAGGTTAGTAATGCTCCATCACATGTTTCTATTACAGGGTGAATCTTAAACTGAAGCTTGACTTTAAAGCAACCCAACGGAAGTTTCATGTAAGTTTAGTTCTTTCACTCGTAGCTCGGGCTGCGGGGGTGCTAACTTCCGTTGGGTTGCTTTAAAGTCAAGCTTCAGTTTAAGATTCACCCTGNCCCCCCCAGAGACCTGCACCGGCTCTTTCCCAGGCCACACTGCAGCAACGCTCCCAGAGCTTTACAATCCCAAACACTGCTCTGGAATGTTGTTGCTTTCTTTCTTTTTTCTTCTTTTACTCTCCTTCATTCCCTCTTTGTCATTGACTTTCTGCCACTGCCTCTCTGTCTCTCTCCTTCTTACCCCAATAGCCCCAGTTGAGCAATGCCTGCCCATGGAGTGTAACTGAAAACCTATTAAATTATATTGCCATCTTCTTTGCATGGAATATGTTCAGGAAGGGCTTATAGAGCCTTCAGGCTGAACACAGTGACTCTTACTGGAAGCCTTCTCCCTAAAGGACAGATTTATATTTTTATTAACTTAGCTAAAATCAATTAGGAAAACTAAAAATCCTACATTCCAGATACACATGCTCCTGCTACTGGAAACTTGAACCAAGCATAAAAAACAAATCAAAGTTTTTGAAAGAGGTGGTAGGGTTACATTTTATATCCCCATTGGCCATGTTGAAACTAAACAGCCTCTTACCATCGTGTGGGAATGTTTAAGACCTGACAGTTGGTACTGCCAGCAGCTAACGACTGAACTTTACTGCTGCAGCAAGGACGTTGTTTTGAGAGTTTAGTGTTTTTCTGCCTTTGCTGTTCCAAGTCCAATCTGTCAGTAAATCAGCTTTGGGAGGTGAGCTTATAATGAGGCCTTTTGGTTGTCACATCACTCATCGCTGTCTCTCACCACTACCGCTGAAAGGGCTTCTTCAGTCCATGTCTTTAGTCTGTTTACTCTGGGAAAACTTGAGGCTAGAACGAAATGAAGAGCATGCCTTGCAAATGTTGCGGCTGAAATGTGTGCTCAAATTGCTGGCAGCTGAACGCGCAGATCGGCATGGATTCATTTGGCAATGGGAGGACACATAATGAGAAAAGAGCAGTTCTGAATACACACTGAAGGTATTCTTTCTGCAGTAGATGGTCGATCTTTAGCAGCGATACATTTCACCTGAGCTAAAATCTTAGTCAATAAAGAAAAAAACGATTTTCTTTGAATATAAAATAGACAGAATTGTTCATCTGACAGTAATGAAACTACATTTGAACTTTAAAATCAATAGCTGGTTCGTATCACACACGTTCCCACACACGTTCCCACACACATGTTCCCACACACACGTTCCCACACACACACACACACACACACACACACACACACACACACACACACACACACACACACACACACACACACACACACACACACACACACCATGTATACATCACTTCAGGGGACATTACATTGACTTACATGCATTTCCTGGAGGTTTATCCTAACCTTAACCATAACCAAGTCTTCACCCTAAAATTAATGATTCCCCATAAGGGAGGCAAGTCCCCACACCTGACTTTGTAAACAGATGTAGGTCCCCACAAGGATAGCAATGCTAGGACACACACACACACACAAATGCACAGAGCCAGCCGTCTAACCACTTAGTATATCACAGTGGATTCAGTCCATTACTCTCAGTCCATCTTGTGTTTCATTAATATGGATGAGCCCACGATGCAGCAGGAACACAGGAAAGGGCAAACCACAATGAAAACCATTTCTCAAGCATTTTAAATCCATCTTATGTATCATTGCATGGCAGAATTTTCTTTCAAACCACCAGTAAGTACAATGTTTGCTATGCCAGATTTCAGATTGAACAATAAAAGCTGTGGAAGACTGTTGATGGCTGATAGATTATTTGTGTTTCCATATGTGTGGAGTTGGATAGTAATATAATACACTGTTTCTACTTTCTACTGGTAATTCTATTTATGAAATGGGTATTATATCTGAGGACCATAACAGCTTCTGGAGCTTTATATTCTCCATCCATCTGGACTAAGTTGCTGTCAGATTGTTACCACATTGGCTATCATTACTTATAACATGTATCCAGAAATTGGCTCATACAACGTTTCTTGGGGGAGCTGAAATGAAGTGGATCGGCCGAGTCCCGTGAGCCTCCTCATCTCCACACCTCCTCTCCTCCTCTCCCTTGTCAGGCTTCCTCGGTGGTCTGTGTTGTCTGCTCTCTGACTTGTTTGGATTGTGAAACTAACTCTCGGGGACATTCTGTGGATCGCATACCATGTCTCTCAGTACTACTCGTTTCTCGGGACATAGCTCTCTTAGCGAAGTGTAGTTGGAGCTGTGTTTTACCCGACTGGCCGCGTTGTGAAGGTCTTCTTCCAGACTTGTTTTCTCTCTGCAGCCTTGTATGCAGAGCACTTATAACTGTAAGGCTGAAGTGTTCAACATGTTCTTTATTCAAGGTTTTCCAAATGTGCTAGTCGACAACATGCTGCCTCAGTCCTTAGCCAGTGGACTGTCATTAACTGTCATTAAAAAATAAATAAAAAAGAATCCTTCTACGTTTCCTTTTTCATCTTGAGCTGAACCTAAAATCCTAAACGGGACCAAACTGTCACTGTGTACTGTTACATCCCTTAGGGAAAAATCATCTTTTGTTTCACTAACTGTTGTTTAATCAATCGTTGCAAACACGAGTGTATATCTCCTGAAAAAAGATCAGATTACACTAATTGGGGACGCCCCCCTGCAGCTACCTTCTGTAATATGAGCTAGAGGCTGATATGTGTGTTTATACAAGCTATTACATCCAAAACAGGATCAGGAAATAGTAGACTCTATAGCAGACTTGTAATACTTATAAGAGAGATGACACAGAATGATATCCCAATCATGCAACTTCAAGCCTCGGCCTTGGTTATTAAATGGATAAGCCCATGCCACTTCATGTATTTGTACTAGAATAATACTAGTCTGCCTTTCACAAGCCTCTTAGCAGGGTTGAATCGTTTTTTCAGCCCATTGAACCTCCACAGTACTCATTAATGAGAGAATCTCTTTTATTTGAGCTGTTCATTTATAAGGAAGTTCAATTGAGCAGCCAAGTGACAGTCATACTTGCGGAAAAGCTTCTTGAAACTGAAGTGATCCCTTTGGCAGAATCAGGCTTTGGACAGAAAATGACATTTGGTAGAAACTGGGAATTAACAAAGTCGGGAAGTCAGCTGTCACTTGAGGTGGCTTAGCCCCTGAAATGAAAAGCTGTTTGGCATGTGCCAGCATCCTCTACACATACACACTAACACACACATAGATACTAAGACACACATGCAAACATGGCTCAGGAAGATTTGACTGAACCTGTCATTGTCACAGGTCATTCCACATTACCTGTCCTATACT